ATTCCTGTATTGAGTGCTCTCTATAAGGCATACGATTAGAGAAATATTTTAACAAAACTTTTGTGACATTTATTGCTTTATTGAATACAAAAGCGATTGTAATTGCAGTGAATATTACCGTCATTTGCACTCAATTTACAGTTTTATTGATTTGTAATTAAAGGCAAAACATTTGGCAATGAATTTGAGAGCAATGTTATGAATGGATTGTCTCATAGGTTACCATTGAAGCGATTGTTGGCATTCATTGTCTCTGATCTCATAATTAGATAATTAGTGGCAAATAGAGGTTGAGTTGGGAATGGATTGTAAAGAGGATGCGATGGCCACCAGTGGACAGCCTCTGGAGCCAATGGCACAGCCTTTGGTGTTGAACGATATGCCCAATGAGATAATGGATAAGATCTTTGGTTTGCTCTCATTTGAAACCATCGCTAAGAACCGAATCGTAAGACATGTCCGACAGACTTAGCCATCATTTGCTTGACTCTCATGTGATTTGTGTGATTAGGTCTGCAAACGATTCAATCAAATCGGAAGTCAAATACTGAACAGGTATTCAATGATTGCATATATAATTGGTGTCTAACTCACTGTCAATGTCTGAATGGTGTCTTCAGGGAGTTCCAGACTCTTCGTAATTACACTCAACAGCGCTTTCAGACGATTAAGAGCCAAATGCCGCGCCGGGAGTCCGCGCGACGGAAGCACCCGTTGGCCCGCGAGTCGGACATCATTGAGACCCTCCACATGAGACTCACTCTTCTGCAGATGACTTTCAGCAAACATATCGAGCGAATGCATTGTTGCTTCTTCTCCGGTGAGATCTTAGACGAAGTGCACCGAATCATTAGGTATGTCCGCAACACACCTGTCCTCTCGCGCGCCTACAAAGTGACCGACGAGTTGTTTGACTTGTCGACGATGGCTATGGAGTACTTCAAAGAACATATTGAGCCAACGCTTCCAGAAATCAATTACTTCGGAGTCGCCGACTATCTGTTGGACTACTCGCCCACTCTCACCGGATCGCCACAAACACAGCTCTCGCTTATGGAGACCACCACTAAAGGCATACATCAGACGCATCGCAGGAAAAGCATTAAATCAAACGCCAATCCTCTGGAGTCGTCGTCGGGTTATAAGAATTCTGAAACCATTGCTCTGAAGAAGCGCTTAAAGAACGCTGAGATGAATGTCAAGCGAAACAACACTCAAATCCTTTCACTCAAGAGAGAGGTTCTGTTGGCGAAGAAGAAATGGTCACAACAGCAGAGAGTGGCTAATAGTATGAGAACTCGTTTCGATGATTTCGACAAAAAGTTTGAGACAACAAACCGAAAGATGAGCGCAGTTTTGGAAGAGTTGAGTAAATGTAAGACAGAACTCCAATACTGGCGATCGACGTCCCCGTCCGGCTCCACACCCACTCCCAACACCAAACCCAATCACTGCAGATGTGGTGACACTTCCAACGAAAACGACTCTCTTCTTGTTCCCGAAGTATTCAAACCGATTGACGACAAGTCGACGACCGCTGCTTCTGAGGTGAGCACCAGTGGAGACAATGGTCTGGATGGTGGTAATGAAGCCGATGGTCTGCCAGTGGTTCACAGAGTGGAGGGAAAGCACTGCAAAAGAAAACTCAGTTATTTGGATGAGAAGAAGTGCGACAAAAAGAGCAGAAAGTCGTGAACTCTTTTCTCTTGGCTTCGGTTGCATTACATTTAATACTGAATTGAGTT